ATCTCACAACACAATGACCGAAGTCGATCGTCACAAACCCACTACCGTGAACCCACGATCTGTCACAACCCACCACTGTGAACCCAACGTGATCCACCACAGATCTATCACAACCCCACCACTGTTAACCCACCTCAGATCTCCATCGTGAACCACGCACAGATCTGTCACAAATCCACTATCGTGAACCCACCACTGTGAACCCACAGATCTGTCACAAACCCACCTCAGATCTATCGCAGATCTGTCCACAGGGAAAGGTGTTTTGCTAAGTTTTTGTTTTGTTTGGAAAGTTTTTAATATCGTGTACACACATGAATCCTTTTAATTGTGTTTGATGTTTATCTGTCTCAGGGAAGAGAAAGAGACTCGCGAAGTACCCAAATCCAGTTTGTGAGCTTCTGTTACCTGTTTGTTTTCAAGACACCGAGATGCAATTTTTTTATTTTATTTTATTGGAAATAATTTGTGTTAGTATTGTTTTTTTCTTTTCATTAATCCTTTTAATTTGGACTTTAATAATGCGTTTTGTAATTGGTTGACTGAAACTAATATCTGCACATGAGCTACTTGGATTTGTGGATTTGTTTGTGGGGTTTAATGGTTACAACATGTGCTATGTTGCTTACAATGTTTAGCACATGCGTCAAAATATTGTGCAATTTCATATGTTCTGTATGTAACATGTTGTATGTAATGGATAAATTTTGGGAGTAAAAAATTATTGGATTATTAGAAATATTTTATTCGGATTTCACTAACTTATATATTTGTTCTATAGATTCAACATTGTTCTTTAATCGTAACAACAAATTACGCTCATATGCACATATGTCAGTATAATTTGTCTCGACGTCGCAGGATTGATTACTACTTGCAACAGAGGCGAAAGTTTCGACATTTTTCCAGACTTGGAGTTCGTCATACACCCTGTTGGTCAACATTGTCTGTATCTTCTCCTGCATTGACGTCTTCAAGCAGTGTTGGATCGAACAAGGTATAATTTTATCTGTGTTTACTTGATTACGTTAACATGTGAGTATTATATTTTGTAATGTGATTGGTGATTCGTATGGTGTCCCAATGTTGGTTGTCTCTCACCGTATTGTCCTTAGATGAGTGATTCTATGGCCTGGTCCGTTGAGATGACCCACAAATTTCTGGTCCTGTTATCTGAGCAGGCCAAAACTTCGCACGATACTGCAATAAAAATGGCAGATTACCAGGAAATGTTGGACAACATATCATCAGTGGCTGACAGGAGACTCAACATCACACAATTAACCTCTAAGTTCTTTCGCCTGTGAAGAGCATATCAAGCATGGCGGAAATTGCTGCAACACACGGGGTTCGGGTGGGATCATGAGTTACAAAGTCCAACGTGTCCCGTAGAGGTTTGGCATGAATATGTCAAGGTAAATTTTCATCATTTTTAACTAATATTAATCAACGACACTATAATTGTACGCATTTTTTTTTTCGGACTGCCAAATATTAATATATTATTCTTCTAACTTACCAGCAAAACCCACTAGCACAACAATTTTATCATAAGGGACTTCCTCACAAAGAGCTCTATGAAATCATATTTGAGAAGCAAACTGCCACTGGGAGATATGCGTACACATCTACATCTCAACCAGTAGAGACCTCCACTTATTCCAATCAGGGCGCGGTTCCCATGGATGATAGCGACTTTGAACCTGATCCAGATCGGATGACAAGGGAAAAATGGCCAAACACATTTGGCCATGGAAGAGCGAGAAATATGAGGAACAGAAGTTGCCCGGGACAATCACTTGCGGATGTCATTGGTAGATTGACGGACGAGCTTGTGGAGAGGCAGACTATGAGATCGAGGGCTAGCAATCGCAGTGCAGATGAGAGGGACGAAGAGAACACTAGTGCTCCATCTGATCCTTTTTCCATGAGCAATTGTATTGACATCATGACGGCCATGCAAGTACCCATACAGTTTTACCTGCCGGTTGTCAAGTACTTATATCAAAATCCAGAGTGGCAGGAGATATTCGTGAAACTCCCTCCCGAGGAAAAGGCTAACTGTTACAACTTTCCCAATTTGTAGATGACACTATATTTCCTAAGTGTTTGCCAACAATTTTGTATGCATCAATGGGCACTTGTCATTACAATTAGAATTTATAACGCTACTGTATGAACTTATTAATTGTGGTACTGTTTTATGTGATATTACATGTTTCAACCCCGTTTTGGATTGTCATTAGAATTAAATATTGACTGTTATATTTTGCTAAGTAGTACAACAACTGTTAATTGTTGATCAATGTTTTGCAAATGTGCAGGTTTAAATGGCGTCGTCTAGCCGTATAGGAAGAAGACGACGTGCTACAGATGACGAAGAAGAAATACTGACAGATATAGCCATTGCACTCTGCGGTGTTGCCCCGTTAGAAGCAACCGGGCGTCAACTACGACATACATCCGTATTAACTGGTCATGAGTACATGTTGGAAGTACTCAATAGTCATCCTGACAGGATCTATGACAAGTGTCGCATGGACAAAGACTGTTGTTCATACTTATGTGAAATTTTGTCTGATCAAGGCAAATTGCGACTAACCAGGAAGACGAGTTTGGAAGAACAAGTTATGATATTTCTAACAATTGTTGGAAAAAACGAGACAATCAGAACGATGATGGAGGATTTCCAATATTCAGGTGAGACGATCTCTAGACATGTTGGTGCAGTTTGCGAGGCTTTATGTGAGTTGAAGACAGAGTTTATCAGACCACCTGACTTCAATGATGTTCCATAGGAAATATCAGCTAACAGAAAATATTACCCTTTCTTTAAGGTACTGGTTCATTATGTTTTCTATTAGTGGATAGTTAAGTTCATTATGTTATTAATTTTGATAGTCGGTTAATATAAGTAAAATTCAATTTTTATAATAGGACTGTATTGGAGCCATTGATGGCACACATGTATACGCTTCAATTCCACATGAATTTGCCGATAGGTATTAGAATCGCAAAGAAACGTTGTCACTGAATGTAATGGCTGTATGCGACTTTAGAACGATGTTCACTTATGTTGTTACTGGATGGGAAGGATCTACGCATGATTCAAGAGCTTTAAATTCAATTCTTTATGATCCTAATTCTAGATTCCCATATCCTCCACCAGGTATAAGTATTTTCTTGACGTATTATAGCATATTTGCTCCACTGTTGAGGCCGTGTAATTCAAATAAAATGTCTGATATTATTACAAGGAAATACTATTTGGTTGATGCGGGTTATCCAAATAGAGATGGGTTCCTCGCCCCTCATAGGCGAGTGGCTTACCATATTTCTAATCACTACTATAACCGAAGGGGGCCACAAGAGTTGTTTAACTACAGACAGGCTTCACTCCGCAATGTTGTCGAGAGAACCTTTGGTGTTTTGAAAAGACGGTTTCGTATTTGAATGGAATGAACAATTACCCGTTGGACAAACAAGGGAAAATTGTTATGACATATTGTGTACTTCATAATTTTATCAGAATGTACAATATGGACGACCATATCTTCGAACAAACCAATAATAGTACGGGTAATGAGCAAGTATATTGTGATCGTCAAAACGGGGCAGAATATGGCCGAAATGGAGAAGGACTGAGTCAACCGCAACAAGGTATTATAGACAACATGACAACTGTACGGGATAACATAACGAATGCACTGTGGGCAGTACAATGGACCATGTCATAGTTGTTAATAGAGTATACGTGTAAGAATGATTGTAAGGGTTGATAATTAGTACTTTTATCATATATGTATTAATGTGATGTTTTTAAACAGTTAGATTAGTACTTAAAATTAATATGGGTTTTTGTTTTTTAATATTTACTGGTGACAAAATTACCAATAAAATGTTTAATATTATTAAAATGTAAATTGATAAGGTATATATATAATAATACATTATTTTAACAAAATGCAGCAAAATATTATATTAATAAATCATTTATAAAAAAATATATCAATCAAATATTCAACACAAATATCATAGTTGTTAATGGAGTATACGTGTGAGAATGATTATAAGGGTTGATAATTAGTACTTTTGTCATATATGTATTAATGTGATGTTTTTAAACAGTTGGATTAGTACTTGAAATTAATATGAGTTTTTGTTTTTTAATATTTACTGGTGACAAAATTACCAATAAAATGTTTAATATTATTAAAATGTAAATTGATAGGTTATATATATAATAATACATTATTTTAACAAAATGCACCAAAATATTATATTAATAAATCATTTATAAAAAAATATATCAATCAAATATTCAACACAAATATCAAAGTCAAAATACTCTACTAATAATATATTATTTTAACAAAATGCACCAAAATATTATATTAATAAATCATTTATAAAAAAATATATCAATCAAATATTCAACACAAATATCAAAGTCAAAATACTCTATCAAACTCATATTCTTCAAATCATATTCTCGTAATCATAACTCTACTCAACTATCCAATATTATTCCCAAAATCTTATCCAAAATAATAAACCAAACGCACCCATAATAATTATCATTGATTTTTTTTTATCCAAGTCAGTTTGCGCGTACTTCAACTAATTCTCTAAGATATTCAAATTGTCAATTAGATAAGAACCCAAGTGATTACCCTATTAGACTATTAATGTTTAGAGAGAGTCGAACTCAGAAACTCATAAGCCTCTTATATCATTGAAAATTCAATAATATTATATTTACAAACTTTTTCCATACAAAAGATGATTGAATTTATTTTTTATTATTTAATCTTGTTCAATTTAAAATCACTTGATTATTTTTTAAAAAGTTTGTACAAAAAGTTTATAAGTGTACTATTATTCTTGGAAAATTTCCTTTTTTTTTTTTTTTTTAATTCGAATTTCGTTAATTAACGTTCGTTTAACGGTTAAGTTTGTGTATTTCGGTCTGTTTTGACTACTTCGGCGTTAACTTCTTCGGGCCAATTGAATTGAAGCCCAAAAACAAAGACGACATAGAAGTGAAGTTCCCCTGCTTGAATCTACTGAAAGATGGAATCCGAACAACAACCGGAATCAACGAACAAAGAAGAGTTCGACTCGTCGGAGATAGAGTACGTAAGCTACGCTGGAGAACATCACCTGCCGTTGATCATGAACCTCGTCGATCAAGAACTTAGTGAACCCTACTCTATCTTCACTTACCGCTACTTCGTCTATCTCTGGCCCCATCTTTCTTTCTTGGTAACCCAATTTCTTCTTTATTATTTCTTTAAGTTTTATTTTTATTCTAACCAATAGTTTAATTGGTTTCTTTCGTGTTTCTTCATAGGCGTTTCACAAAGGTAAATGTGTGGGCACAGTTGTGTGTAAGATGGGAGAACATCGAGCTACTTATAGAGGTTACATTGCTATGTTGGTTGTTATTAAACCTTATCGTGGAAGAGGCATTGGTAATTTTTTTCTTTCTAATAAGCCTTTCTTTTTTATATTTTGAGTTTGGCATTAATGAGCATAAAGTGTTTGTTAATTTGCTTTTCTTTTATGTGTTTTTGGTCCTTACGTTGTTAGATTTTGGAGAGGTTGAAATTTGAGAATATTAACTGGATGTGTAACATGTATGCATTACATTGCATGAGTTTACATTTTATAACGATTGGTGTTGAAATTTGTGTTTCTTCTTGAATTGTAGCGACTGAACTCGTTACTAGATCGATTAAGGTGATGATGGAAGCTGGCTGTGAAGAGGTATGTGAGCATTATGATGTTGTGCTTGTGGTTTTGTACTCAGTTTCATGTCAATTGCATATTGGTATAACCTGTATAATTGACACTGAGTTTTTTCTGTTTTCTTGTTTTGTCACCACCATTATATCTTAATGTGAATGAATGCCATTCTAAGGCTTATACGGGTTCAAGACTTCTTGTTCCCAAAATTTGAGGGTAATATGATGTTTAGTGAATATGGCAAATGAAGACAATTTTTTCTTTCCAGCATTTTAAGAAATAGAAAAAAAAAAAAAAAAAAAGTATTTTATAACATTTGTTCCTAGTTTTTTATCGTGGATGACCGGATTAGGAAAGGATAAAATTGCAAGAGAAGTCCAAGCTAATAGGACATGTGTTGAACATTGTAGCTTTTATGTTTTTCATCTTGACTTTTTAAACATAGCTTTTTTATGGCTGTATTGTTGTTTTCCTTGAATTTGGTTGGTATTTCTGGACAAATTTTCTTTGTTCTATAACTGTATTTTGATAAGAAGCAGAGATACCCAGACTCAGAGCACCAATCTTCGTTCTGTACCCTTTTCTGCACTCTGTTAGACATGAACAAATTGGTCACTTGGATTTATGTATTATCTGTTATCTCTGTTCATATCTATCCCAGTAACTCGTCTATGTTTACAAATAACCTGTTACTGCTTAGTTTATGCAACAGCTAGTGTTTCTGTTAATTATCAATAATTGTGGTTTCTCATCTGGTGACTGATAGTCTGCTGGCTAAACAAGTGTAAGGCAGGTCTTGATGTCAATTGAGGTTGACTTCTTTTTTGTTTGGAAATGGTTAGGTTGAGTTCTATTGGAAATTTTTTCTTTGGAAAAATTTAGGAGAAGAGTTAGCACAATGTCCTTGTAACTTACATCTTTCTTTCACTATATTGACATATCCTATAGAAAATTCTGTTGTTGCAAAACGTACAAGATTAAATTTCATTGATCTCACGTGTGGCACTGCCTACTTACCAGGCATACTGAAGCAAAGGAGGTTTAACAAATTTCAAAGGGAGCTGACTAATTTCAATAGTTCAAGAGAGGCTTTTTGTCGAATTTCGACAACAGAGGTCCTTGTGTTCTTTAGCCTAGTGGTAGTGGAGGTCCCTAAGATAGACCTGAACAGAATATAAACTTCGCTCTGATCCTACATTTCAGTAACACCAAAATTCCCCTTAATTGCTCATTAATTTAATAATTCAATATCTGTAGTCATATCATGTTTACTTAGTCAAGATTTAATGGTGTCTCCTGACCTGAACAGTGACCTTATTTTAGATCCCATCCACTTTTAGAACTTACCTGGGTTTCAGGAAATATTATCACTAAAGGAGATCTAAGAGCTGGATGGTAAGTTTATTGCACTTTTCCAGTTACTTCATAGGTCCACTGAAAAGAGTATTAGGAAGACTAGATATGAAGAATGTAGGCTGGCAACATTATGGTACATTTTTTCGTATCAATTCTTATTTCGTTTTGGCTTTGCTGAATTAGATCATTATCGCATATTTTTTATCTGATCTGTATTATCAAGTTTTTATACATGTTGGGTAGTCAAAGAAATAGGACAAAATGTTAGAGCATCTCCAATGGACTCTTTATATGATCCAAACTCTTTATTATAAAGAGTCTATCCATAAAAACAAGATTCCAACAAACCCTTTATCCTTTAAATATAAATTAAAAATTGAGTTTGGCTCTCCACATCTAGAAAGTCAAATTTCACTGTCCATCCTAATTTTAATTAATAAACTACAAATTTGTTATGCATTTTATTTATTAATTCCCTCTCCTGTTAAGTCTATTTCTTGAAAATAAATAGTATCTTTGTTAAATTTAAAGAGTTCATTGGATTTAAATAAAAATTTTGTTTTTTATATTTAGAAATAATGAAAATACTATTTATTTATATAAAAGATGCTCTTTAAAATAAAAAGCACCATTGGAGATGCTCTTAGCTCATGATCTTGAACAATATTTTCCTTAGGTAACGTTGGAAGCAGAAGTCACAAATAAAGGAGCACTTGCACTATATGGACGTCTTGGGTTTATTAGGGCAAAACGGTTGTTCCGCTATTATTTGAACGGTGTTGATGCTTTTCGACTGAAGTTGTTATTCCCTTGCCCAGAGATACACCCAGCGTTGTCTATGATGGCGGAAAGAGATGACAGCCACATGCATCATGATCACATGGTGCCATGAGAATGTCACCAACCCCATTAAGGTCGATTATGATCACATAGCATAGCAGCCGGGGGATGTTGAAGAATTCTATCAAGGCTCCTAAGTTTACAATTCCCCTCTTTGAGATATATTAAACTTTTGCATATTCAAATTTATTATTAACTGTAACATATAACTGTGTTACTATGTTTGAGAATTGTAAATTTCATCCGATTTTCAAAATTGATCGATGATGAGTTCTGGCTTTTGTAGCTCCAATGGTTTAGTTTGAAGAGTTGAAGTAGAATAACAATATAACATTAAGCTTAATTTTATTTTATTTGATTTTATTATTTTTTTGGGTGGGGGTTAAGTAAGCTTAAATTTTTATTGTAGTGATTTTCTTTCCCTAATGCAGCATATAATTCCTTTCTTGGTTTTTGTTCACACATCAAATTTGGCTCCAATGGTTTACGTTGGTACAAATATTTTTTAAAATTTATTACTAAGATAGTACAGCTTATAAGTTCTAAAATTAAATTGATTTGTTTCTTTATAATTTTTTTGGGTTTATAAGCCAAAAAAATAAGTTGGGGAACCTTATTTTTTTTGCTTATAAGCATTATGTTCATAATAAGCTATTATGACAAAGTATATTATTACAATGCCCCTATTTAATTTTTAAATTCTATCATATAACATTATTTTTATATTTTAAACAACTCATAATTATAATTCACTATATTTGTTTATTAGTCTATTTTGTATAAAGAATCTAAAAATTATTCACATAAATTTTTAATAAAATATTTGTTTATTTAATTTTAAAATTAAATTATATTGTAATATGATTGAAATATATATTTTGATAATATTATAATAAAAAAAATTGAGTTAATATAATTTATTATTTGATAAAATAATGTAGTACCATTTTTTGTTATTTTAATATTAAAATGTATGTGTAAGTCATATTTTACCGAATGTCACTTGTCAATCACTTATAAGTACTTTAACCAAACACATGACTATTTAAATTTCAAATGCACATAAGTTCAAACTACCTTATAAACACCAACGGTTTATAAACTAATTTTCATAACTCAATCAAACAGGCACTAAATGGATGATCCAATCTTAAAAACATTAATTTAACTGGCATACCAACAACAAATATTAAGTTTATAATTAACCGAATTTTTTGAATTAATTAAATCCTTTAAAACAAATCTTATAATCAACAATTGTTCTAGCAAAACCGATTTTTTTTTTTTTTTATTTAGTTTTCTATGGTTTAATTGCTCGTGAATGCATATGCATGTAACATATTGCTTAATTAATTGTGTTAATTTGAATACATTTTGTGCTTCTTTAATAAACAAATTATATTAGTAAGAGTAAATGACATGTTCCCACTAAAGATTAGTGAAATGGCAAGTTTCCACCCCTTCGTTTCATTTATTCCAGATTCCCACCCTTAAATTAACAGACAATTATTTAATATGACAGTAAAAGAATAAAATGGTCATTCAACCCAACCGCCGTCCCACCCCACTCCTCCACCCATTCTTCTTCTTCTATTTCCCTCATCTCTTTCTTCTTCCCTCTTCCTCCTACTAATGCTGCCTCTTCTTTTTCTTCTACCCATTCTTCTTCTTCTCCTCCTCCTCTTTTCCTCTTTTCTTTCTTCTTCTCTTCCTCCTACTTTCTTTCTTCTTCCCTCTTCTCCCTTCTCGGAACAGGCTCCGAGGCGGCTTGATTTGGCCGCCGTAAGACCATCACGTTGAGGCCACCACCCATCTACCCCAAATCACTAGCCTACCTCGCCCCCTAGACTGTTGTCGCTCCCTAGAAACCCACCGCAAGTCGTCGTTATCGTACCCTAGAAACCTACTATAGACCATGATTGTTGTTACCCCCAACCTACGATTGCAATTTCACATCGCTTAGCTTTTTCATTTTTCTTTGTTTAATCAATTAGGTGGTGTAATTAATAATCTGGGTTGCATGAAATATAATGAAAGTGGGGTTCTAACGATCAAATGCAAGCAAATTAAAAAGCAGGAGGAATGTTCCAATGGGTTTGTGGTTGTTTTTGGATGGATTTGTAGGTAAGTTTGTAACTGAGTTTGTGGCGGTTTTAGGGTGGGTTTGTGGCTGAATTTGAATGATTTGTGGTGGTTGTTTGGTGGCGACGGGGTGACTTTGGGGTTTAGAGGGATAGCGATGGTGGTGGTGGTGGTGGTGGTGGTGGTGACTTTGGGGTTTTGGTCGTGGTGGTGGTTGGATGGTGGTGAAATCAAAAGTGAATGGTAGTATAGTAATAACATCCTCTACAGCTATGTTAAAATTAAAACTTATTAACAGAGTTAATTTATTTAAGGGTGGGAATTTAAAATAAATTAAACCAAGGTGGAAACTTGCCATTTCATTAACCTTTGGATGGAACATGTTGTTTACTCTATTAGTAATATGAATCGACATTAACACGTTTATTACACGTGTAATTTGTTTAATTGGTGTTTAATCTATTTAAATAAAATAGAGTTTGATAAATGAGAATTTTTTACAATATTAAATACTGTGAACCTAGCCGTGCGTCTTATCAACTTTTCAAGATGAGATGAGAGTTTAACTCAATTACATTGATGATATCAATGAGTTAATTTCATATTCATAATAAGATAATGGGAATATCGATCGGGTATGTTTCTTTCGTTATTATATTTAACTTTTGGAATCAGATTTCTTAAATAGTTAATTTCATATTCATAATAAGATAATGGGAATATTGATCAGGTACGTTTCTTTCGTTATTATATTTAGGCTCAGTTTGGTTCATTATTCTGATAGTTTTTAGAATAATCTTTTGAAAAAAGTTAAATTGGACAAGTATTATGATGTAGGATTTGGAAATTAACAAAAATATCTCCTATGTTTGTTTATTTACTAAACACCCCTATAATAAAATATTAAAAGTTAACAAAAATACCCCCAACCCACTCATTAAATACGAACAGCCGGCCACCACCGCCGAAGGGTGGCCAGAGTATTTTTGCAATTTCTAAAAAAAATATTTGGGGATGTTTAGTTAAATTAACAAATTTAGGAGGTTTAAAAGAAATTGAAAAATATAAAATAATATTTTGGGAATAATGACATTTTACTGTTTAACTTTTTTGGGAATAATAATAATAGTATTCCCAAAACCGAACAAACGGAAGCCTTAACTTTTGGAATCAGATTTCTTAAATAAGTGTTTGGCTCATTATTCAGCGAATAAAAATTTGATTTCTGACTTCTGATTATGCAGGCAAGCTGCAGTTTACTCTTGATTTTTTTTTTCCTTCTTTCTTCTTTCTTCTCCTTCTTCTTCAGTTTGGCTTCCATGGTTCCACCTTCATATATCATTTCCACCTTATTCTTCAAAGATCAGAACCACCGCCACAATTCACTTTTTTTGTTTTCCTTCTTTCTTCTTTTTTCTCCTTCTTCTTCAGTTTGGCTTCCATGGTTCCACCTTCATATATCACTTCCACCTTCTTCTTCAAAGATCAGAACTACCGCCACCCTCTTCCACATTTCTTCTTCAAAAATTACAAACGCACCGCCACCCTCTTCCACGTTACAACCACCATAACACCCTCTTCCACCTGCATTCAAAAACACCACCCAAAAACACCTTCTTCTGCTGCTTAAGACTCAAGAAACACCACCATCTTTCGGTTTCCTCCGACAAACCGAGGCCAACAGGTTCAACCACAATCACCGGCCACCATTTTCAAGTTCTTCGGACTACCTTAGGCCCCCTGCTCCAACCCTAGGCCACCAGTTTCGAGCACCACCATTGGTGCCCAGAATTGGAGATTCGCCACCATCTCGATTTCCTCATCCAACCCGAGCCCACCATCCTTTTTAACCATCGCCGACGCACCTTTTCTAGTGAAGTTCACACATCGTCGGCCACCCTCCTCCATCTCGAGGCCACCATCTTCCGATTGCCACCACCGGTGCACATTTCCCAGTGAAGTTCACCTAAGCCTACAGTCAAATCGAGCACGAACGAACAGCCCCGTTTGAAACTCGTTCGATAAGCATGTTCGATTGTTCGATTTCGTGTTTGAACTATAACGAACATAGGATGACCGTTCGTGTTCGTTCGATTAACAAAATGTCAGTTCGTGTTCATTCGACTAACTCGTAAATACCTGTTCGAATAACTCGTTCGATAATTTATAAATACATGTTCAAATAACTCGTTCGATAACTTGTAAATACATGTTCGAATAACTCGTCTGAATACTTGGTCGAATAAAAAATATATTTATTATCATCTGGGCTTTGGATTTTTGTTTTAAAATTTGGGCTGGGCTGGGTAAGGGAAAATGTGAAATTGGGTTTATCTATATATTGTATGTACAAAATGTGTAATTATGTATGTACAAAATTATTATCATACATATATTAATCATAAATTAAATATATTTAATATGTTATGAAATTATCAAAATTATAGGTTATCATATATTTATTATCATTACATAAATTATCATAAATATTTTAAATATTTGCATATATATTTTGTATCAACACCCATAAATTCATAGTAGAATGAAAGTCTATTGTAATATATAATCAATATATATGTGTGATTAATTTGTTATATATATAATGTGTAATTGTTTATATACAAAATTATTATCATACATATATTAATCATAGGTTATATATGTTATTAAATTATCAAAATTATATGTTATATATATATTATCATTACTGTCTACATATATATTTTGTATCAACACCTATAAATTCATAGTGGTATGAGGGGTTATTGTAATATATAATCAATACAAATGTGTGATTAATTTATATTTAATTAAGCTATTATGTTATTAAATTTGTTATGCTATATATCACTTGATTATACAATATGTTATGTTCAAAAATTTGTCATATTATATTTAATTAAGCTATTATATTATTAATTTTTTCATGTTATATATCATTTAATTATACAATATGTTATGTTCATCAATTTATCATACTATATTTAACTAAGCTATTATATTATTAAATTTGTTATG